GAGGTGTTCCGGAACGTTACGTTCTCTGAGCGCTCTCCAGAGTACAGGCCGAGGCAGGCGGTCGAATGCCTTCTCAAGGTCCAGGAAGGCTAGGTAGCAGGGTCGCCGCTTCTCTCGGTACTTCTCCATCAGCTGTCTGGCGATGAAGATGGCATCAGTGGTGGACCTTTCGGGCATGAAGCCGAACTGTTCCTGCGAGATAGGGACAAGTTCCCTCAGCCTAGTGTTGACCAGGCGCTCGTACAGCTTCATGGTATGGGGAGTCAACTTGATGCCGCGGTAGTTGGAGCACTCCGTCGCGTCCCCTTTCTGATTGGGGACGATTGTGCTGCTCCTCCACGCATTCGGCATCCTTCCTTCAGCTGCTATTAGGTTGTCCGGAAAGTTCTCAGCGTTTTGGGTGTTTCACTTTAAACGATCGTAACTTTTTTAATACTCATCGGATTTAATCGAAATAGGCACCATTCGAATCAGCACACTTTTGCCAATGTGACAGCAGTCGAGAAATCCCATCAAAGAAAAAACTGGGTGGTCGAGAATCCACGAAGGCTTTTTTGCCTGGTCCTGATTGATGAAGTATTTTCCAGCAAGGGAGTTCTGAAAATGTTGAAAAGGTGATAGTCGGTTGGCGAAAGGTCTGAAGAATATGGCGGTTGAGGTAGAACTTCAACCCCCAATTCGTTCAATTTATGGATAGTGATTTGTGAAACGTGTGGGCGGGCGTTGTCATGCAAAAGAATCGGACCCTTTCTTTTGATAAGTGTTGGCTGCATCTGACAAAATTTTCGGTACATTTCGTCGATTCTTCACAGTAGGGTTCTGCTGTGATGGTTTGGCCTGGTGATAAAAAGTTATAGTGGATCACACCAGCCGATGACCACCAAGCCGTGACCAGAATCTTTTTTTCGTGAGGGTTCGGCTTTGAAAATTACCTCGGTGGTTCGTCGAAATCCAACCACTGTCCGGAACGTCTCCTGTTATCATACATGACCCATTTTTCATCACAGGTGACAATTCGGCCCAAAAACAGGTCGTTTCTGCTGCGCAAAAGCAATGCAGAAGGAACCTCGAGACGTGCCGATTCCTGCCGGTCACTCCGATTGTGGGGCACCCAATTGTCGAGTTTTTTCACCTTCCCAATGCGTTCCAGACCATCTGCAACAGTGGATTTGCCAAGGCCTAGCTCTTCTGCTATCTCTCGAACTGTTTGGGATGGGTCAGCCTCCAAAATT